TGGCATCCAGACATTGCATGTAAGCACTAACTGCTCTGGCACCAGAAAGATTCCCTTACAAATGTGCACTCAAAGAATATCCTCCCGGTCTGACCAGGATCCGCAGCTGTGCATTCCCTGAACTTCAAGAACATCACAAATCCATGGTTTGCTTAAACTATGGTTATTCAGAACTACCAAAAACTTGACTGAATACATTTTACCTACTCTGCTGCCCCATCCCCATTTAGAGTCTTTATCTTGTCTATTAGGGGTGTTAGATTGGTTGGACAGTTGATGAATTTTACCATCTAAGTTTTATTTATTTATTTTTACTGAAAGCCCTGCCTGAGCAATCTATTATTTAAAAAACAAACAAACAAAAACCCAAAACAAACCAACAAAAAAAAACCCAAACCAACAAAAAAACACCAAAAAACACAAAACAGACCTGTCCCCCAGAAGACAGAAGAGCTAGCTTACTACTGTTCACCATTCTGCACAAAGTCTTTTGTGAAAATCTGCATTTCAAAGCAATCTGAGAAAGAATGTACAATTCACAACCTGTGGTCTTGCTCTGATATGCTGAAGTCTCAGAGGACCCAGGGTAGTCTAGAATTCACATGGTGCTTAAGTCTATCTCAAAGGACAACTCTTAATTTTAAATATGTATCTTTGTAACAATACAAAGAATCTCAAGAGTGAAATATATCAGTAGTACAAAGGAAGAGGAAAAAGTCACACTAGCTGTCAGCTAAGCTGATATTACCTCACCTGACCTTCTTAATGTTTTCATCTGTACCAGTCCCTGTGGCTGGATTTGAGCAAGCCACGCCAAGTCAGTCATCTTTGTAACTTTTAACTCTGTAAACCCAGTGATATTCAAGTGTTGCGTTCATACTTATATTTTAACCTCCCAAAACTCTCACCAGTGCTCATCTCTGTCACTCCCTTATTGGATGATGTTAATTATTCAATTACTACCATGATAAAGTAGTTTAGTATATGCAAATAGCCTGTTCTGAGAACGTTAATCAACTTAGCAATATGCTTACAATTGACACAGGACTTTTTGGATTATGGTTAATAAACATAGCTTCTACTGATGGTCCTATCAGCCCCAGACAAGAATTAGTCATAGCACACCCTTTAATAGTAGCCAGTCTCAGCTTTCTCCAAACAAAGTTTCCTTTTGCCTACGTGGCTTTTCAATCATTTTGACCCTCACCAGTGCAGTGCGGGGCACAGTTAAGACGTAATGAAAGCAAGGCCATTTGGTCTAGCAAGAAGAGTAGAAGAAAATATTCAAGTAGATAACATCCTCCTCCTCACCCATATTTCACATGACTGCTTTTGTTTCCCTTGTGTCCCAGCAGGCATGTGGAAAATGGCAGGAAAAAGACTGGACACACAGAGAATCAGTCTCTCCCACTCTTGCATGCAAGACTGACTAATCATATAATCATGGGTACTTTGCCTTTGCAGTTCAAAAACTTGACAGATAATTTTTGTATTTGCAACTCCTATGATGCCTTATTTGCAAGTTTCTCCCTTAAAAGGTACTAAAAACTTGTTTTGAAGTGAAGCATTGGTTTAGTCACCCAAAGAGGCACTTCAAGCTGAAACTGAGTATTGCTTAACTCAAATAAATCTCAGGAGTTGACAATAGCAATTTACTGTTGTTGAAAGCAGGCCTTTTAAATTGTACTGAAAATCCATCCTCATCTTTAGAGAGAAGAATCATTGTGAGTTTATTTTTCACCACAGTCAGGGAACATGGGATCTACTTGCCCTACACATACAGCCTTGACATTTATCAGCCTCTTGAATTCAGTAATAGCAGGTCACATACCTACAGCTGCACATGTGAACTATCTTTCAGACAGCAGCCTCTTTAGCCACATCAACCTGCGTGGTAAGCAATGGTAACCAAACGTATGTCCATCTTCAACGCACATCACTGCACCTATCCAGCTTTTCTCTGCGACAGTTTCATTGCAATAAGAACCAGTCTGTGTATTAAGCTTAAGACTTTAATGAACTTACTCCTGTTACCTTGAAGTGCAACCACATGAGCCTATCACACACTGAACAGACCAGGTTCCTAGACATATCACTTGCCAATGAAACTACTGAACGTACAATTAAATCTCCTCCCCCAATGTATTCTTCACCTTTTTGTTTTACAACATTTGGTTTAAACTTCCAACCACTTTGTGCTGTAATGCTGAAAATCAGATTTGAAAAATGGCAGAAAACCATTACAAGGAAAAAAAGAAACATTCAGCAAATCCTCTTTGTCCTCAATGTAACCAACTCCTGTTCATGACAGGAACCAAGTAGCTTTCACAACGGTTTACATCCAGGTGGCTCATTTCAGACTGGAAGACCAGATTAAAATTTTGGCATCTCACCCAAAGGCCATTGCTCTTTCTCACCTGAGTTTGGCATAAGCAGCTGCAGAAGTTGCCCTCCTGCGCCTCTTGGAAAGCCAAAATGCTACTTGGGAAGGAAGGGGAGATGGGGAGCCAGCTATTGACAGAGGGTAGCACCTGCTGTGAAGGGAGCATGTGCCCCGAGGCAACCACAATGTGTTGGGAAAAGCAGCTGCAACATCAATTATCAGGGTTAAGCTGTGAGCACGTGCAAGAGGTTGCATTTAGCTGCTTGGGCAGCATTTATCCTTGGAACAGCCCTTCCTCACCTGAAGTGAGCCTAAGGAAACTGCCTGGAAAGCAAGATCTATTAGGGTCCAGTTAGGGCCACAACGAAAAGCCTTCAAAATCTCCTGCATATAATAAACCTTATACATAGTTGACACTCTTCCTTCCTCTCTACCCCATCCAATTGAATAAATTTGCATGGTTGTAGATGGGTTAAAAGTTAAATTCCATCTCTACATGGAATTTAACTTTTAACCCATCTACAGAATCAACTCTGATTACTGAAGAGTTACACTGACAGGAACAGTGAACAAATAGTAGCTTGTTAAGCAAAGAGTGTATGTGAAGAGTGGTTAGGGAAAAGCTGAACACACTTGCAGGAGTTAAGATTGCCTGACGTTTTTCCAGTTAAAAGCTAATGAAAAATAAGGGTTGCCAAAATTCAGTCAGTTCACGTCATTTTTTTATGTCACATCCAGTTTCATCTTTCCCCCTGATCTACATTTAAGGCTTTTGCCATTTAACCAAATAAAACCCAGAAAATCTGAATGCTGCTTAAATCAAAACCAGGGACTGATCATTTTGAATTCGTATTTTCCTATTCTGTGACAAAGAACCATTTTTTGCGGGGGGGCTATGCTACAAAAAAAAAAAAAAAAAAAAATCAAAAACTACAACTTGTTTTTCCCCTTTTGAATATTTGGATGGTTTAATTTGCCCCAAATTTAAGCTGCTCCTTGCATGTTTCAAGAAATCATTGTACAGGCTGAGAAAAAGTCCTCTGTAGTTAATGCATTTGACTACTACAGGCAAAACAGAGATTAACAGCAAAAGACTAACAGCAAAAACAGAGCAGGAGGGATTATGCTACGTTGCTCAAGTGCTTTCTACTGCTGATAGCATCTGAACAGTATGAAAGTGGGTGGGGGGAAAGTCATCCAATTTGAAGAAAAGAGGACAATGGTGACTCATACCAGGACAGGCTGACAGAAGAAGAATTTAACCTTTAGAGCACAAGCCCAGGAATTGCCTGGAAGGCCATCCAAAATTACTAAGTTCCAAAAGTCATCTCATGTCAATGATACCTACTGTCCTCCTGTGAGTTTCTTTCTGCTCTACTTCATATGCAGAGCAATGAGCAACAACAATGAGGTACTCCATAAAGGAGCAATTACCCATGCCCACGGAGTGAACCTCTACCTTCCAAACCTACTGGTCAAAGTTACATCCATATATGATTTTACATAACTTAATTACAATGTTCCCTAGCATTTGCTTTACTCTTTTCAAAAAGTTCATACCTATTTTTATTTTTTTTAAACTTTTGCAAACATAGCTGAGTTGCAAAAGAAAAATGTAACTTCTCTGTTCATGTCTTCTATTGCCTTAACTCTAGCTATACTGTACACAAGAGCTGCCTTACTAGTTCTTCCATTAGTTCAGCAAGACGTATAACCTAGGTAAGTTTACTTTGCCACTCTCTTTCCACAATTAGTGGTCCTGTCCTACAAAAAACACCCTCTTGCAAGAGTTGATTGTTTTGACCATACTTTTAATTCAATTCCCATCCTTGGACTGCCAAGGATGTTAACTTCTAACAAGACTGGTAGTGTTCTTCCTTCACTGAGCTGACAGCCAGGGACTGGATTTAGACCCAGACTCCCGAAGTTATTTAAACACCTCCAGTCCTCCTAGTGAAAAGGACATAAAATGTACTTGAGAATTTAGTCCCCATGTTCAAACAGGAATTCATGAAACTGAAAATAAGCAGCTTTCACTCACCGACAGTTAAAATCCAAATTTTTAATTGCAGCCTACTGATAGCTCATCCTAAGATGATATTTGACAAAAAAAATTGTTTGTTTTAGCTCCATTCTACTGTGTCAGAAATGAGAAGTGTGTCTTAAAAATATGGAAAACAGCTCAGCTGTTGATCACTACTTCTCCGAACTTTTTGTCTGAGTTGCAATCTATTCAAAAGATCCTGAGAGTTATTTCTTTCCACATGGAGTGCTAAATTCCGTATTACACATGATTCTCTGAAATTTCCTACAAGACTCAAAGCAGTACTCAAACACACATCCCAGGTTCTAGAAGTTGAGACGCTTATATTTGAGAAGTGCTGAGGTTGTGTTGAATACTGCCATTTGTCAAAATAATTTTGTTGCTTGATCATAGTACCTCTGTACTTGGCTACCCTTTATTTTCCTCCTTTGTGTTTTACAATTTCACTGCTCAAATACAAATTTGCACTACTTGTACCAGAAGGAATGATTTATGTGTATGATTTATGAATTCTACCTTAACATAAAGCAAAGAGACAATGTGTCAGTGCTGTGAACTGAGGCCTGTTCTTACCATACAGTTCATGGCAAAGTGATTGTGCTGTGTCTGAAGCTCCATCGCATGCGGGTGACTGGTTCCGATCTCTGTGTAGCTGTTCAGAAACAGACCTTTGTTGTGTGTGATCCAGTCAAACATCTACAAGAAAATATTAAGGGAAAATAAAAAAATCACTAATTTGTTATGGCAAAAATCATAGACAAGTAATGTGAGAAATCTGTGAACACAGAAGACAGAAAGAGTCTAAGGCCATGAAAATGAACACTGATGCTCTTTCCATTGTAAGTTACCATATATTCTAACCAAATAGTTCCTGAAATCTGACTTTTTTGACCAAACAGCTGAGGCTGTTAAATCTTTACTATAGGTGTTTATATCAACAAGCTACAGTAAAGTCATAAGCATAAAGTCATAACTTTGTTACTACAAAGAAGTTGTAGTAAACAAACAGGCTTGGAGCACAGCCCTGAATTACCAAGCTTATACATTCTCTAGTGACAGCATTTCATGATGTCAGCAGCTTAGTCATTTAGAATGAAAATGACAACTCATGGAAATTAAATATAGATTCATTCTTGCTGATCAAGTACTTCAGCACCAAGTTTAATATTTTTAGTTCATAACTTTACAGCAGATTTGAAAATAACTTTTCTATTGCTAAACAAATTAAAAAAACCAAACAACTATACTTGAGCACAGAGTTGCACATTACCTTCTCCCAGACAAGTTTAAGAATAATATTTAAATATGTTTGGGTTTTGTGGTTTGTTTGTGTTTTGGTTTTTTTTTTGGGGGGGGGGGGGGGGGGGTCTTTTAACATTCAAACAAATTTCAGGAAAGACCTTATCTGACAATGACCATCAACGGAAGTACATAGGTATGTTAACACTGGCACTGGAAGACAAAGTTTTCAAAGACCAAGCAACACAGCAAAAGGCTAAGTTTAACACCATGACCACCACCCCACCACCCCCCAGCCATGGTCGTGAAATCTTTGCTATATCTCAGCTCAGAAGACCCAGCTACTCTCTGGATAATCTGAAAAGGATTGTTCAGAAAAAAAATGGTAGCAATGAGCACTAAGTACTCATTTAAAGATCTTTTAAAATATCCTGACTAACAGAGCAATATTATCAAATCCATTATTCCACCCAGGTACATGACAAATCAAATTATAAGTAGACTACAATATAGTAAGGACTGTAAACCAAAAAAAGTTTTAAGAGATTAGACAACTGATACAGCTGATCACATACTCTTAAAATTTTCAGTTTCTTATCTAGACTACAGTGAAGATGTGCTAGAACATTATTCAAAATAGACACTGGTCCTGCTCGTGACCACCCTTCTCTAAGTAGTCTGACTTTGCTGCCTTCAGATACCTACAGGGCAATTCCAATCAGATTGCCTCCCACTTCACCCTTTTTTTGCCTTCTCTTCTCCTGAACCAGCCCAGATTTCTTGTGTAAAGAGTTGTGCAAGTCCGCCAAAATGAATACGTTTATTTCTCCCCATCCAATAGCCTTTATTTTTCCAACAAAGATCCAGTCCTTTCCCACACCTAAATAAACCACGTAGACATACACTGATAAAGAAGCCCTGAGCTATGAAATCTAATCTGACACAACCAGTGAAATAAGGGCTGCAAGTAGATTAAGGCAAGGGCCTTAATTGAAAAGTGAGTTGGGATACTACACAAACCTTCTTTTTAATCTTTTTCTACTGGTTGATGAGAGAATAAAGTCCCAGGTATGCTAGCTGCTGTCAACTCCATTTTGAGGTGCCTAATATTTCCCTCTATTCTGAAAGAAGATGCATTAATTTAATATAGATTTATCCTTGCAATCAGGAACCTAGAAAACACAGATAGGAGCTTAGGCAACCACATGGCAGGGCAGAGATCAATCCCACAGGCTCAAGTATGTCACAAGGAGTTTCTTAAAGCCCAAGTTATGTAGGCAACTTTTACATGACTAAATGAAGAACGTATCTTTCAATAACATGTGAGCACCACCAAAATTTATTTTGTTCATGCTGTAAGAAAGAATAATTAATGCTGTAATTAAGTGGCTAAAAGGTTGCTAAAAAGCATTTTGGGCCTGAAAGAGCAATGCTAGGCTAACAGCTTGTTATTTTCTGAATAACTTTAAAACTTTAAATTCACTTGACCAGATTTTTTTCCGCTCTTTACATGCCTCTACTATTTTCAGCTATACCCATTCAGTAAACACTTACTTTAAATGGTACTTTTAAAAAAACATTTATTTTTTAAACACTGCAGAAAACATTAGGAGTAGTGTAAAAAAAGTCCCTGAGCTGAAATGATGAGGGTAAGGGAAAGCACAGGGGAAGAAACCAGAGGAAGAAGTATTATATATGTTTGCTCTGCTTTTACTCTTCCCCATGCATCTCCTTATCACCACTGCTAGAGAGCAGCATACTGGTATAACATAGACGCTTGGTCTCATCCAGTTCAGGTGTTCTTACATAAAATATTTTAAGAAATCTGACAAAGACCATACTTACCACTTGACTGCATAGTCTAGTTACTTCTTCTCCTGGAGAAAAACTCCCCACCCTTTCTTAAAACTACTTGTTCTATGATAACAAGTTAATAAGAAGTGATTGCAAAACCGTTCTATATGAAAATAGATCTTATTTGAGCTCATCTAAAAGCACACTGCCTGCCACATTTCCTCTTCAAATTCCATGACAATCAAAGCCTTTCTCATTAGAAGGGACTGGTTAGCCCAAAACATTCTGAGAACCCTCAGTCCCCTGTTAATGACATATGCACTGTCAAAAGAGACACATCAGCTTTTAGCCTGGGACTTTAAATCCTGCATCAATGAAGCAGTTCCCCATGTCAGCCTCTTCAGACTTTGTCGGCTGCCTGTCACTGAAATCCCAAGGGTCGCTCAAAAGGAGACCAGTGTAGTCCTTAGTCATCTGTATTTATAAAGTATACAGCATTCATCTTCACTTGACGCATGCAAAAGCATCTGTCTGAAACAAAAACTTACTGAAGCAAAAGCTTTAAAGTCACTACCACTTAAAATTTTCTTCGGTGAGAGCTACCTGTGTTCTTCACAGCTTAGAATTACTACCCCATCCCCTTTACTCCAGAAGACTAAGAGTCACTCTCAATGAAGAAATCCTTTATTTCTCATTAAAAGGCTAGTGATTAAAGACAAAAACCACTATTTGCAGTTATCCTTCATACTTCTTTCAAGTCTGTCAAGCAGCACCCATTTATACTCCCCTCCCCCAATCCCTTACCTTCTCAGCATCCTGCTCAAACAGCCTGAGCTGAAAACATTGGTCCAATTTCAATTTCCGCACATGCCACATCTGATGCAGATGCTGCCGTGTTGAGTGCAGCCTGTCCAGCATGGTGGATACTTTGGGTAAAAGGTTCTGTAAGTCTGCATTCCCTGACCCAGAGTTCTTTTTGGGAAAGCTATCACTGCTCTGTATCCGCTGGAGCAGCTTTTGTCCTTCCACATCAAGGTCCTCGATAGGGGCCTTAATGACTTTCTTTTTTAATTGTGAATGCTCCTCTATCATATTGCGAGCACCTTCCAGGTCCTGAGGCATTTCCTTTTTTGACAATATATCTTGCAATTCCTCCAGTCTGGACAGCATATGGGTTGCATTGCTAATGTAGTCCTCAAAGGCAACTCTGATTTCTATCCACTCCTCATGGTTGTACTCCAAACAGCCATCAAATTCTGGGGTTAGCTGAGAAGGATCAACTACTTTGGTAAGGCCTTCCAGAGACACCATATTTGTCTAAAAATAAAAATGAAAATTTAAAACATGCTGTTACTGAAATGAATTTGAAATTTTCTTTCAAGTTTTTATTTTTCTCTTTGTCAGAGTTGATCATTTTGCTCATGAAGTCCACGCGACTTTTCTCATACACTTCTTTTCAAATATCAATTCTGATCAGCCTCCTGTCTTGCAGGTATTCTCCCCAAATGAGAGAAATATTTTATTTCTTTCTTACTTCACTACACTTAAGGAGAAAACAGCAACCACTCTTTTGACTACTGTTTTGATTAAGTTTTGACTTCGTGTTTTCGAAAGCAGCAGGAGGATAACAGCAAGGTTCACCTGGCTGCTTTCCTGGGGATGCCGGTGATTATCACAATTACCACACTGCAGACCAAGACAACAAACAGATGAAACCTAACTTTTTACCATTAGGGGTAAAACCTTAATTCCATCTTTCTCAAGCTCAGAAAAAGAATATAAATGACAACATGCACAACTACCTAGCCTAAGTACATGAAGAAAACCACATTCCCTCTAGCACCACTGGCCTAATGTACCCCTCCTCTATCTAGAACATAATTTATCTGAGAGTTTTCAAGATGCTGATCAGTAGTGAACACACTTAAAACCATGAAATAAAGCGTAAATTTGTATACCATAGGGAAAATTACCTCAAACTCAAACTTAGAGCTGCCAAAGTTAGTCCTCTGTTTCTGCCAGAAATTGTCTGGCTTGATTATCAGTGCAACATGAATACAACATGGAAAAGATTCCTGTAAAATCTTCAGCAGAGGCTTTATGGAGTCCCATTTTGACCCACGCATATCTACAATGACAGTGAATCCTCGTTTACATACCTCCTCACTGCAGAAGAAAGAAGAAAAGGTTATCAGGCAAGCGTTACTACTTCAAACACAGCACTCCACTGCACCACACTGCCTAATGAACGTGGTCTCCTCAGCTAACCCGAGGGTCTCACTGTTAACTAGCTGACACGTACAGCAGATCTCATGAATCAGTCAGGAAGCTTCTCTCCCCCCGCCCCGCCAAACTCCTCGTGGGTGACAGCTTTACACCTGTTGCTGATTTGATAATCTGCCTTTATCTCCTCTTTCATTTTCATTTTATATTCAGTTTATGTTCATGATGATTCATCTTCCAGTCTTGTTTCTCCTTCACCTTACACACACATTAAACACACCATTTACTGAAGCGGCAATATGTAATTCATTTACAATTGACTCTTCAGAACACACACGCACACTTTACTGATGACAATATACATATGCCTTTCTAATGACTGAGGGGATCCTCTAAGACAGAAGATGGCATACTGTTCTTACCTACCACTTCTGCAACTTTTTAAAACTGCCTCAGATTTAGTCCCACATTATCTGAAAGTTAAAGAGTCTGTAGAGGGAAAAAAACCCTTTATTGACAAGTCCTGCTGTAAAGGATTGATTTGTGGATAGTTAATGGATAAGAAAGCATTTTATGGCTGTGAAGAAAACTGCATCAACCTGTTTCTACAAAATTTGAGTTCAATTTTGCTGTTCAAAAGTCAACAGACCTCACACCCAAATTCTCTGGCAACTCCTCCGAGAATGGCAGATTCAATTTCTTTTCATCAGTACCTTTTGTACACTTAGTGCTTGCCGCTGATCAAAAACGGCTATCACCACCAACACCAGAAATTTTGATTTTGTTCCAGTAGAATTTGCTACATGACCTTGTTAATATGGAAAGGGAAAATATTTCAAATCCAATGCATCATACCCAATGGACTATCAAAAGGGACCAAATGTCCATTGTTTGAGTATATGAGTCACTTTCAGGGATGTGACTAATGTAAAAGCAATTCTGGAGTTCATGTGGTGAGGTTTTCAGAGTGTCCAAGAAGTAGGGAAGCTTCACCGGCATACTTCACAGAGTCTCATTGGCCACACTGTAGAAAGATGAGTTATGACTGATACAGGAGAGCAGAAAAGCTTCTGAAAGAAGTGATAATACAAGTTCCTTTAAAGAGTTTTTTTTTAAAGTTGGTTTAATTAAAAAAACCAAACCCACAAACCACCATTTAAAAAAGGAGTTTATCAAGATAAATACTGGCTGTCCCACCTGCCCATAGGAATGCTAAAAATGGCAATGGTAGCAGAAAAATAGATTAAAATTGACGAGCCTGGAATACATGCAGGCTACAACGTACAATTTTCTGACCATGGTGAAAATGTTTTCTAATAGCCTTACAGGATTAAAGGGCAAAACCAAGTACTGCTTTAAAGATACACCCATTAGTGAAAGGCTACATGCTATCATACAAGTGCTGCTCGGCCCATCCCTATCCTACCACATAAACTGAGCATTGCGTGAGGAGGAGTGCTTGCCACTAATTTACAAGGCACACATCTACTAGGGTGTACAAAGCAGCCCCTCATTATGTGATACAATACAGATGTGTCCTCCCATCACGTGGCCCCCCCATCATCTGAAAAAGATGAATCTCTTTTGGCCAAGGATCACAAATATTGTTCTAGGAGGCTTTAGCTAGCCAAGGTCATCTGTTAGGTGAACTTGAACTACAGCCCAGTCAGCACTGATGACTTAAGTTTAGCAGTATGTTTAAATCAGATAAATTGTTAAATTAGTAAAATTGTGAGACTGAATCACCTTAAGTGTTTAGATCTCTTGCCAAACAACTGATACCTCTGAATCTTCAGCTATGTAGAGGAATAGTACTGCAGTAACTAATAGACAGAGTGAATGTTCGGGACTATTTGTACCAATTGGGACTTCTTAATTAGCAAAAGTTGCATGATCAGTCCCTAAAACATGACTTGTATGAAAACTATTTGCTTTTAATAAAGCTCCTTTTATTCTCAAAGCTTTGCTGTGCTTACAGAGATATAAAACCTGCACTAACTTTCTTTTCATTTTAAATCTATTGATGCTAAACTAACATACATCTCTTGCCAAAGGATCACTGTATTTTGCCAGATTATCTCTAGAAAACTCTCTTGGGCATATTTTGATGCATATTTATCTATTAAGTTCTCTAGTAACTTGAAGCTCTAGAGAGCTAGAATACATCTCAAACATTCAAATGTGAAGTCAAGTTATTTCAGAAGTAAAAATCTCAAGCCTTCTTCCTGTCCTCCTTCCTCTACCTCCTCAAAATCCCCCAGTTAACTTTAAACAGTCCTCCACTTCAAAGTGAAATAAAGACTACAATAATTGAACTAGCAGCGATTACTCTTAAGGAAGGCCATACACACTGTCAACTAGATGCCTTGAAGTTATTTTTATGAAAGCACTTTTGTCAATCTGAAGCTGACATCTGATTACATCAGGTGCAAAGACTGCCTATAAATTAACATATTACAGAAATACGGAAGATATTGCATTCAGGGGTGTTGTTCAAGGGATTTTTTTTCAACTGTAATGACAACTGCTCTTTGAGGACATTGGCAAACATATTCAAGCACAGTCAGCATTGCTCCAGTCTGCACCAAATGCTGGTAGATTCTGAGATGGCCCTAAAGTCAGGGTCTTACAATCATTTTTGTCCCCAATTCAGTTATTACTAGGAACAAAGTTCTATGTGAACAAACTTTTTTACATATATATAATATATAACTTTAC